TTATCGCCAGCGCCACAACAAAAATAATACTGGCTTGAGCTAGCGACCTCAGAGTGAACACTATCTCCGCATCTTCATTGGAAAGGCTGTAGATAAGCATAGTAGAGGTGTCCCTGCGTAACATCCCGTGGTGGGACATCCGGGACGGGAAATGCTAACGGTGTAATGACAACTTCCACAAGTTACTATGCATCGGTTGGTGCGACCTCGTAGACGACGTGACGTTTTTCAATACCCTTAGGATCGTCGATGGTGTAGGACGGGGAATCACTCTAAAACAAGATTGGATATTATAAAACGACGAATACATTTTACGTGGTTATGGTTTATACACTTAGGGAGGTACAGGAGTAAAAGGAGGAATGCCACTTTTGTTTAATTTTTCAGGAGAGCATTTATAAAGTTTTAATGAGTTCACTTATCCCCATGAATGACTTAATCAACATCTTTGGTGTAATGGTCGTATATTTTTACTGGATTGCTCTTTTATTCCTTCACCATTTAAACAGTCAGATTCTATTATTATTTCAGAAATCAAACAAAAACCAATCTCCTTAATTTCAAGAACAGATCACTGTATTATTTTTAATAAATTCTCTACTTTTTGTAAACTGTTGCGAGTACACAGTTATTGTTTAAGATACTTAAGGAACCTACTTAATTCTAGCAAAAATAGAAAACTACAAGATGCAACATCTAGCAATCATGTCTCTCGCAAAAATCAGTACATCCCCTTTTTATCACAAGAAGAATTCGAAAAAGGTCGATTAAGTTTAATTAAATTAGCTCAAAATGAATGTCTTCAGGAAGAAATACAATTAATCAAAGCTAATAAAGAAGGCAAATCGAAATCACAAACTCTTAGCTTTGTCGCCATTTATTGATGGTAATAATTTGTTACGAGTAGATTGTCGATTAAACTCTCTAACCACTTTGGGTTAGATTATAACCACAAACATCCTTTTTTATTAAATGGTAAGCATCGGCTTACTCAGTTGCTTATTGAGGATGAACTTTTAAATTTATTTCATGCAGGTCCCCAATTATTATTGTATACTATAATGCAGCAATACTGGCCAACAAGAGGCATGAATGCAGTCAAATCTGTTTGACTGCATTCATGCATTCAGAAATTGCATAACATGTAATACATTTAAACCAACTCAAATTACTCCATTCATGGTCGACTTAGGTCAATCTAGAGTAACTATTTTATTTAATTAGATCACACTGGTGTTGATAATGCAAGACGCTTTGTCCTTAAAGATCCATTGCGAGAAGTCAACTTCAACAAGTCTCTGTCTCTCTGCTAGCGGCCATCAAACATAACGCATCGAAGAAATGTACAGTCCATTATTTCATGTATTAAAATGTTAATTTCAAATGTAATTAAGTTCAATAAAACAGTGTAACTAATTCAAGCCATTTTAACAAAGACTAATATTAATTATATATTTTGTTAGATAAAAAAAATCATTCGTTTGGTATGTTTACACTATCGTTTAAAAATTTTCATTAGTAATTTGGATAGCGGTAGAAAGAAATACATTTTCGCTGATTAACAAGGGGTAATATATCTCTTGTTTTAATACATAGTGAATTTAATTTAAGAGAAGCAACAAAAATAAAAAATAATGCAAAAAAGTCCCTATAATATTAATATAAGAATTGCGTATAATCCAACTTATGGTAGTGCTTTGAAATACTCTTCCGCATTCTTTGTGCAAAATCTGGACAGGTGCAAAACGTTATCAAACTTTGCTTTCGAAATAGGAATCAAACCTACAAACATAATACTTACTTCCCAATACTACTACATTAATTGATTATTATTTCATACCTTCAGAAGGATAGTCTGGTAGTTCAAACTCATTGTCTTACAAGTTGGTGTGCTTTGATCTCTCTCTCTTCAATCCTGACCCCCCAGGGGGAGTGTAGTGGTCGACGTAATGTCGTGTATTGTCCGTCTCCAGAGATCTCTGTCTCTGGTCATTTTTTTTAATTCATGCATAGGTCTTTGGCATATTCCTGTAATTTGATCTATCCATCTTGTTGGGGATCTTCCTCGTGATCTTCGGCCTTCTACCTTTCCTTGTATTATGAGTCTTTCCATGTTTTCTGTGTTTGCTCTCATAACATGCCCAAAATATTTTAATTGTTGGAGATGGACTTTACTAGAGAGTCGTTGGCTAACTTTTAGCTCTCTTAAAATTGAATTATTTGTTCTGCGGTCGGTCCAAGGAATTCGTAACATTCGTCTCCAACAGAACATTTCAGTGGCGTCTATCTTTCTTCTCTCCGATTGTATCAGAGTCCAAGATTCACATCCGTAGGTCAGTATTGGGAATATTAAGCAGTTGATCAACCTCATCTTTATCGCTCTTGAAATTTGATAGTCCTTCCATATTTTGGTCATTTTTGCTGTGGCAACTTTTGCTAGATCACATCTACGTTTAATCTCTTCTTGTAATGACCCTGTGTTTGTGATTAATGATCCCAGATATAAGTATGAGCTCACAACCTCGAACCGGTAAATTGTGGTTATGTGTGGATGATTGTTGTGTAGTCTATCCACTATCATGATCTTTGTCTTTGATATGTTTAATTGCAGACCAAATATTTGACTTTCGTTTTCGATCGTAGGTTGTTTAGTTTATGACCATTTATTGAGATGCCCTTTTCCCATCCTTCAAGTGCTCTTCGCATAACATACTCCCCATATATGTTGAATAATTGTGGAGATAGTATACATCCTTGTCTGACACCCTGTTCTGGATGAAATTCGTTCGAAAGTGTGTCAAGTACTTTAACTGATCCAGTAGTGTGTTCATATAGTTCGGTTATAAGCGTAATTAGATGTTGTGGTACGCCTACTTCTTTTAGTATTCGCCATAAGTGTCTCCACTTGACCCTGTCGAACGCTTTACGGTAATCTATAAAACAGATGTATAGTGGGATGTTCAATTCCCTAGATTTCTCGATTATCTGTCTTATATTCAGCAGGTGTTCTCGAGTGCCTCTACCTTTGGTAAATCAAGTTTGCTCTTTTGGAATTTCTCTTTGAAGGAATGTTTTTAGTCTCTCATTGATTATATGTAGCATTATCTTGCTGGCATGGGATATAAGAGAGATAGTTCTATAATTGTCGCATTTATGGAAGCTGCCTTTTTTATGTATGATCGTTATTGTAGATTTTGTCCAGTCTTCAGGCCATTGTTTGGAATGCCATATTTGGTTACAGAGTAGATGAGGTAACTTTACGCTGGTTTCTTCTGTGGCTTTAAGCATTTCTGCTGTTATCATGTCTGGACCTGGTGCTTTGTTATATTTGAGCTTGTTGATAGCCTGTCTTACTTCATTTTCGAGTATATCAGGTTCTTCTTCCACCTCGTCAGAGATTTGGCTAACAAGCTCTTGGCGTTGATCATCTTTATATAGGTCCCTGCGATACGATCTCCATGTCTCTGCTATGTCTTCTCTGTTTGTTCTCAGGGTTCCAGTGTTATCTTCAGTGTGCTTTGATATTGGACGGCAATTTGCGATTACTGCAGACTCAAAAAGACCATTATATGAATTTTGGTAATAAATAAAACGAGGGTGCGATTTTACAACCTTGGCTTCTAGGAGAGGTCTTATTTTAAAGGAGCACTTCTTGGTGTCAATTTTTTCAGGTGGTTGGACCATTTAGTAAATAACAGCTGATCCACATCTATTACATTAAAAGGAAAAGGTTTCATTTTGGCTTGACGAAAAATCTTCATTCATTCATTTGGCTGCTCTACATACTTTAGATTTTTGGTTAATTACATCCCTATTTCTATCTGTTTCAAGATAGGAATGACCTCTTATAGGAAAACATATTTTTATTTCATCAAATATTTTTTCGTTGTGCACTAGGTTGTGGAGAAATCTTAAAACAGTATAATTCTTGTTATGTCCTCTGCATGAATCACAGAACATGGAAATACGTCGGACATTTATATCAAGATGATTGTTTACGAAATCGTGCAATATTAAGCACATCATCACTACCTTTTTTCCCACTATTTCAGGATAAGTATAAAATGTACTGGCTCCGGTTGATAAAGTATGGACATTAACAGAGAAAGAAAGTTGTTGCTAGTAATAGACGTCATTTGTAGAAATGTTAGGTATTGGTAGGTTTTTCTCTAGATCAAACTAAATTGCTTTTTCATTACTGCTTTTTCTGCTTCTTTTTTAGCTTTTCGTTTCCTCTTATAAAGCCTTCCATTCTTCAGCCTAAAAGCACCATCATTATCTCCTGAAATAATATTGCCCTTTTCAACTACTAGCTTCTTTATTTTCACTTGGAACTCATCATATGTACTGCATGTGTCTTTCCTGTGATACCCAAATGACAAATTAAATTCGGTTGAAAATTGTTCTGTAAGACACTTTTAGGTTTGGATATTATTCAATATAAATTTTGTGCATTTTATTAATAGTTAGCTTTAGTGGTAATTATATTTTGAAAGATTCTGCCAAGTTGTAATGGCATTTTCTGAATTTAAACGAACTAATGTGGTTCGATACTGCTTCTCTTTGTTCTTTGGAGAGTTTTTGGCTTTAAAAATGCTTTTTTTTATCTCTTGGATTTTTGAAGGACCTCTATCTTTTCTTTATACCATGGATAGCCATAAAAGCTTTAAAGCAAACCTGAACTTCTTTTATTGTATTTTCATAATTTATAAACCTTACTATATATAGACGGCATCTTTAAATGTAGCGTTCTCTCCCATTTGAGGTGAACGTCGGTTTTGAATTTGTTGTGTGGTAATTAGATCACAAAAATATGAGTGTTGTTCATCAACAGAACACATTAAATTAAATTGCTTTAAAATGCTGTTCGTACAACCTTCAAGAAACATTTCGAAAACATTGCAACCTTTTACAGTGACAATCAGGCCCTGGAACATAGCTTTGTTATCTCAGTTTTTTACTAACATCAGTCATGCGGCCAAATGATTTTCCTTTCTTACTTAACTTTACATTTGCTGAACTACTTACATCCATATCACTTATTTCTTCATCACTTTGCATAGTAAAATGATCTGGTATCAGTAACTTGAAGAAACTAACCTCAAATATTACACCTCAAAGCAACACACGAAAACAATGAGTAACAATAAAAGCATCTTAACTTGTTTCTGCGTGATTCACAACTGACATTTCCCCTTCTTAACCGGTAACATTCTGACATTCCCCTTTCTTCTCATGTATATATATTTTATATTCGTGTTATCTCATGACACCACCCAATTTTAACTAGTGTTATTTACATAAAGTGAAGTAAAGAATATAACCTATGTAATGAAATGTTAAAAAAAATTCTGATATTCCTCCTTTTTTCCCTGTATCCTTCACTTTTTATGAGTTTTTATAAGGTGGTTTTACAGAATAGATAAAATTACAATATCATTTATAGTGTGTTCCAATTTTCTAACGTCTTGCTTGTTTCTGATTGGAACTAATAAATTCATGTAGGCTATCGACATTTACTCTGCAACAACATTTTGAGCAATGTTCACTGATCCTAATGAATGCCTAGTAGTTTCTAATATGAGAATCGACTCTGCCATCGCTGAGCCACTGGATCAAGTGCCTAGAAACATTGTACGTTATGCAGTTAACGAAAGAGTCCTAAGGACGAGTTTCTGGTGGCTATAAAATAACAGGAACATATGGACCAATGGAAGAAAAACTTCTACAGAAGACCAAAGATGTTAGAATGATCCACTACCCGTTTTATCTAGCTACATATGGGTAATGTGTACTATAAACATTTAAAATAATCAAACGTCAAACTGAACATTGCGATCATAAGAAAAGCTTAAACTAATACCTGGAAAACTATGAAATTTGTACTAAATTTAGAAATGAATAAAGAGGATTTCAAGATATCCCTAATCACAGAATAAGTTTGTTAATTATTAATATATATATATATATATATATATATATATATATTATATATATATATATATATATATATATATATATATATATATATATATCCGGTTTTTTAGGCATTACGCCCGTCCGGTAGGGATCTATGGAGGAGTATCACCGAGCCGCAAGCCCTTATCTCTTGCCGTACTGCTCCACCATAGGCCGATCAGACCCCAGCATATTCTAGTCTAAGCCGCAGATTCATCTAGAATTTTAAACTGCTGCGTTAGACTTTTTGTTTTCTGTATCTGTACACCGAGCTGGGGTTCGATCCCACATCCACTGAGCCATTCGACATTGAAGCGAATGAGAGGCAGCCGCACAGCCCGCTGAGCTATCTGACCGACAAGGTTGTTAATTAAATTAAAAATTATCTAAGTGGAACGCATACCATAGACCATTCAGATATTAGTTTGAACCGTACAAAATTGATGAAACTTAGCTTAAGTGTTATCTATAACAGTTCATAGCCCTATTAATTGTTAAACTTTGTAACAACGTAGATGCATTAAGAAGAAGATAAAAATGTCGATCGTCTCAGCTTTTTTCCATTAATTTGTACCTAGCATCTATAGCTGTTAAAAATTAAACCTTTTTTTGAAATAAAATTAAATAACAAACAAAATTTAAAATTTAAACCGATAAGATTGGTTAAGGCTACAATGCGTAATGTGGTTTGCAAAGTCGAAATACAGGGCGAACAATCACAGGCGTTTGGAACGCATGCTGGGCTGCGACAGGGAGACGCGCTGGCGTGTCTCCTTTTCAACATAGCTCGGGAAAAGGCGGTCAGAGGTGCCCAAATAGACAACATAGGAAATATTTTTAATAAATCATCCCAAATTTTGGCATATGCAGATGATGTGGATCTAGTTGCCCGCACAACACGCAAGCTAGAAGAAATGTATACCACCTTCTCAAATGCTTCAAAATCTATGGGCCTGCAAGTAAATGAGGAGAAAACTAAGATGATGGCATCAACACCCAACAATAGAGTCAGGAACATCGGTCCCCAATTCACAGTTGATAACTCTACCTTTGAAGTGGTGGACAAATTCACATACTTAGGCTCCCTGATCACCAAAGAGAACGCCATAACGGAAGAAATCAAGCTAAGGATAATAATGGACAAACAGATGCTATTTTGGACTGAGTAGATATATGAGAAGTAGAAACTTAAGCCAAAAAACAAAAATAACCATATACAAAACCCTTATACAGCCAGTGTTGACATATGGATCGGAGACATGGACCATCTCCAAGGCAGACGAAGACCTTCTGCTTATATTTGAACGAAGGATCCTGAGAGGAATATTTGGTGGCATCTGTGAAAATGGTGTTTGGAGGAGGAGATACAACTACAAGGTATACCACAGATATAAACAAATATTTGGTGGTAAAGACGTAGTATCTCTTATAAGAATAGGAAGACTAAGATGGGCAGGACATCTAGCAAGATCACAGCAGAACAACCCTCCTAGAAGAATCCTTATGTCACAACCCGTGGGAAGTAGAAAAAGGGGTAGACCAAAACTCAGATGGAAGGATGGTGTAGATGAGGATGGTAGAAAGATAGGCGCAGCAAACTGGCAACGTTGGCAATGGATAGGACTGCCTGGCGTAATAGACTTGGGAAGGTCAAGGCTCTTTCATAGGGCTGTAGTACCATTGATGATGATGAAATATAAAATTAATCAGTGTACAGCTAAATATTTGGGACTTACTTTCCTATTTTCATGGATAGTTCTTCCCAACCTCGTGCCATATTTGTTTCTACAGACACGACAATGATTTCCTATCAACTTCTACAATGATAACGCTTGAAGATTGTCTTGTGGCACATCAGATTCTGCAACAAAAAGAAAATATTTTAGTTATCGATAAATTTAGTATCTAATAATATACTTTTGGTGAATGCAGTTATTTTAATATGTAGAAAATGGATACAACTACAGAAAGATAATGATTAAGTACAAAATAGTTTACATAAAAAAACGATATATTGAGAAAAGCAGTAAAAATTATTTGGATCTCTAACTGTTTTCTATAATTAAAAGAAAAAGAATACTATAGAAATATTCCTAAATTTTTATTCAAATTACATTATAAAATCTATATAATAAAAAAATATATAAAAGAAAAAGGGGCTTAAACTGAAACGTATGGTATTGCTAGATAAAATACTATAACAAAAATAATCATTATCAGTGGTATCACTGCTTCTTATGAGCCTTCTTTAGGACAATCCTCCATTCTAGTATTGGTCAAAAATCGGTATTGGTCTTGTTCTTCAGATTTAGACGCGTCTGTAAAAATGAGTAAGTTATTAGAGCAGTTTAGTTCCTCTGCTGCTTTCTTTTTAAATATACTACGTGGTGTGTCATATTTGTTATTGATAGTAAGACTTGTATCACAAATAGGTAGCTGTATTCTCTAAGGAGGTTGATGATTAAGGTTAGTTACATTGTATGTCTCAGGAAAATGTATGTTTAAACTATTTTGTAATTTTTGGATCCAGATATAAAACGGAGGACTTAGTCTTTGTCAGGTGTTAAATGTCGATGTGAATCTGTCAGCAAACGTGTTTTTAAATGTCGGTATATCTGGATTGGCTGACAATTTAACTGCATAGACAAGGCTAAGGTAGTTTCTTCTTAGTTGAAGGGAAGGTTCAACTGATTCACAATATAAACTTTCAATTGGGCTAGTATGATGAGACCCCAATGTTATTCTTATTGCTGTATTATGTATTTGGTCTAGTAATTTAAGTATTGATGCTTTAGCTGAATTATCAGCAACTGCGCCATAATCTAGTTTAGAACGAATTAGAGTTCTGTAGACAGTTATGAGTGTTTGGAAATCAGCTCCCCATTACTTGTGAGATATGCTTTTCAATAAATTTAGACCATTTTGAGTTGTTTGTCGAAGATGAAAAATATAATCTTTCCAGATTAACCTATGATCTAGTTTCATTTCTAGGAAGGTAGTTGATTCAACATAAGTAACAGATAACGAGTATAAGGTGAGATTAGGTGGTTTTCTTCTTCTTCTTCTTCTGGTTCCTATCCGTTTCGGATGTTGGAAATCATATTGGCAACCATAACCTTGCTCGAAACAGCTCCGTTGAAGTTTTCTTAAACCATGTTCTTAAATTCCGCAGCCATGATATTCTCCTTCTACCGGGTCCTCTTTACCTTGACTTTACCTTGCAATATAGACTGTAGCAGGGAGTAACGGTGCTGATTTCTCATAACGTGTCCCAGATATTGCAATTTTATGCGTTTGATCGTAAACACAACCTCTGGCTCCTTCTTCATTTTTTCTACTGATTAGGTGGTAGTATAATGTTTTTTGGGCTCTTGCTAAAGAAAATTGCTTTGTTTTGTTTGGAGATATCTGTAGACCACATCTATCTGATCAATTTTCTAGTTGATTGATAGCGGCTTGTATATATCTGATAAGTGTTACATTTTTCCCTCGAGAAAATATGACGAGATCATCAGCATATAAGCGTGCTTTTACTAATGAACTAAAGGATTTATAGATATCATTAATCGCAATAAATAACAATACTACGTTTAGTGTAGATCCTTGTGGGATACCATTAATTTGAGTTGTTGGCTCTGAATAAACATTATCTACACGAACATTAAACTCACGAAATATTAGAAATTTTTTTATAAAATTAAGGTTGTTACCTTTGATTGACCATCTGGATAAGTTTTGTAATATGTCGGATCTCCAAATTGTATCATACGCATGGGTTATGTCAAAGAAAACTGCTAAACACTCTTGATTGCATCCAAATGCTTCGTGACTTTGGGATTCTATATCAACTAGATTATCTAAAGTAGACATTGATTTCCTGAAACCACTTTGAATAGGGGTAAGAAGTTGTTTATCTTCTAGATACCACATTAGTCTATTGCTTACTATTTTTTCCAGAATTTTACATATAGAACATGTTAGCCAGATCGGTCGATAAGACTCCGGGTCTGATTTTCTTCTTCCCTGCTTAAGAACTGGAATAATAATTGACTGATGTCAACTATCAGGAAACACATTTTTTGTCCAGATAAAATTGTAAATTT